AAATATTATATTTATTTATATATATAATTTATTATAATAAATATTTAACCTGTATATTATACAGACTAAAATATTAATATAAAATAATATATATAAAAAAATTGTTTCAATATTGTGGCGTTCATTTAAAAAATTTTAATGATTTTTTTTATTGAAGTAAAACAATAATTGTTATTATAATAAGAATGACCATATAATCTTGTCCAAAAAAAAAAAAGAATAACCAGATAATATTATAGAAAAATGTGAAATATTTTTAAAAATTAGTAGAGAAACTCCTTTAAATTTATCACTGAAGATACTGTTAATTTTTCATGTGCTGTCATTACTGATAATTTGAAGTCTCATATTTAAATCACCGAATCAAAATGAGTATATTTCTACACATGAACAGCTAGATTAAAATGATTTCAAAATCAATTTCTACTGTACAGCTTTTCAAAAGGAAATCATAAATAAAATCCATTTGCAAGTTTCGGAATATAATTTATACTGTTCCAGTATTCCTAAAGTTTGAATAGTATGAAATTATTTGTCACTTTATTTTGGAATTAGATAATGATTAATCTCTCTCTCTCTGACGTATTCAATGACGCTCTTATACTGTTGTTTACTCCATTTTGGGTCAACTCTTTTCATGCGTTCGTTAAGCATTTTCAGTGTCCTTTTCTTCTCTGTTACTCAGGAACAACGGTCATACAAGTCTAGTATCTAGAATTCCCTCGTTGTAGCCATCAATAGTACTTTAGCCATGTCAAGTCCTCAGTGTTTTGAGAACCCACCTAACCTGAACTCGGGCATCCATGGTGAAGGAACTGTCCAAGAACTTGGAGGACTTAATTCCTATGTCACTGGATCTCCTGATTCCAAATTGGCACTCATCCTAGTCTCTGATGTATTTGGTAACAAACCCATCTCCAATTTCTTATCTTTCAACATTTTTACAATATTCTTATATTAATATGTCATTTATATTGTTCAACTACATGTTTCAAATCACTAGATTTGATTTAATGATAGATAGGTAGCATATACATGATTTTATGTTCGAATTATGACGTTACCAATGTAATTTCTACTGATAAAAAAAATGCATACTCTCAAATCCAACAACTTGCAACATTAAACTAATTGTAAGTTGTTTTGAAATTATTTCAGGGTATGAAGCACCAAATCTGAGGTAAATAAACTTTTCACTACCATGGCTTATTTGCAAGTCATATAACTATTGAATCCCTTGTTCTGATGATCGCCTCATTGAACAAGTGTGCTTGCACAATAGATTACAAGGTTAACATGAAGTTGAAACTACTCATTATTTTAATGCAAGGAATGACCAAGTTTTATGAGACAACTATATATCAGGCCTCTCAAGTTATCCATTGTTAGGCTTCAATGCTTCATTGCTGCATCTGATTTACTGCTTCTGAAATCATTTGCCATCATGAGCTTTGATATTCTCTCACTGTGAAGGAAACTTGCGGACAAAGTAGCAGCAGCTGGATTCTTGGTTGTTGTTCCTGATCTTCTATTTGGTGATTATGTTGACCTTGATAATCCTCAATTTGATCGAGATTCGTGGCGAAAGGTTCATGGAACGGTTTGTGTTTTTTCTTTCCTATATCTACTTTTGTAATTCATATCAGACCATTCTGCTTGATCACTGGTTGGATTATAAGTCATAAGATTTTCTTTAAAGAATATTTTCTTTATAACATGATGTTTACGCAAATATGCTGAATATTTTCTTTATAGGATAAGGGGTGTGAAGACACCAAACCTCTAGTTGCTGCTTTAAAGAGTAAAGGTGTTAAGTCCATAGGGGCTGCTGGTTTTTGCTGGGGAGGTAACTCAATTTTTTGCTCGGTCAACTTCTTCATATCATTTAACAAGATTAGAGACAAATCCCTGTAATAAGATATGTGGAATGGTTTAACTTAATAGCTTTGATCCAGGGGTTGTGGTTGTGAAGTTGGCAATTTCCAGTGACATTCAGGCTGCAGTTATTCTGCATCCTGGTCCAATCTCAGATAATGAAATTAATGGTAAACTTTTTGTTTTATGTTTTTCTACTTAAATAAATGATTATTGAGATTGTTGACAAACTTAAGTTAGTTTTTCTTCAGAGGTCAGGATTCCTATTGCTATTCTGGGAGCTGAAATTGACAATATTTTCCCACCAGAAAAGTTGAAGCAAGTTGAGGAAATGTTATCTGCAAAGGCTGAGGTGAGAAATTCTGGGGCAATCCTACTTTGTTGCAATTTCTTAACCTGTGAACAAAATTTCCAACTTTTGATGAGGCTGGTACAATGACATCATGTGGCATTTATATTTATTAATTAGAAAATTGTCCTGCTGAAATGAATTACAGTGTTCTCAATATTTGAGTACAATATTCTTTGATCAAGAGCAAATAAATTACATCTTACCCTAGTCAAAATACCAATAGGTACACTATTGACTCCAAATATTTTATGCTTTTCTATCAGCTTGAGAGCTTTGTGAAAGTATACCCTGGTGTTTCTCATGGATGGACAACGCGGTACAATGTTGATGATGAAGCAGCTGTTAAGAGTGCAAATGAGGCGCATCAAGACATGTTGAATTGGTTTATCAAGCATGTCAAGTGAAGGTTGTTTTCACCACCAGAAGATGCCTGTGATTGAAATTGTGAAAGAGTATTTGATTGTTATTGTCTTTGATTAATGAAAGAATACAATGTGAAAGAGTAGTGGATTGAATGGCATTTGTATTGTCCGTGACTTTTCTAAAGATTGGTGGATCTATGATAGGTTAAAGAATAATAAGTGGGATTAGCTTTTCAACTCTACATCCCAAGAATATTCAGTACCCATGTCCTGTTTTTCAGCATTGTCTGCATCGATACATGAAAAGGTTAAACTTTTTCCTTTGGATTTCCAATCTACCTAAATCTAGCGTTTATGTCAAACTATTTTTTGATTTTAACTATTCTTGTTAATCACTTGTGTTGATTTCTAATCACGAGTTTGACGATGATTTTCTCGTTCGCGTGATAAGAGCATGTGGCAAATTTAATCAAAATTTACAGACATTAACCAGGATGACAAGTTTTTGCGTATAGAAAAGGTTTCAAGGATTATTTGCATTTTTTTTTTTTGAATTTCAGAATTAGATTAGATGCCATGTTTAAATACTGGAGGATGAACTTTTGTCAACGTGTTTAACTATATATGACTTAGAAGAAATATACTGTTGATATACATACATGTCTTTGTCAACGTTGAAGTGTCCTACGAGGCTCGGCGGATCTAGGATATTGACTCAAACAGTTTGTTTAAATAAAAAATAATTTTATATATAACACTATAATAAAATGTTTTTTTAGTAATATTAAAAAAATATTTCTAAATTATGAGTAAATATTATTAATATTTTACTATATTTTATCAAATGTAAGATAAAATTTATATTATTAAAGACTTTTAATAATATTTTAAATATTAATGAATATTTTTGAAAATGTTATTAAAATGATATTTTTTTTAACATTTTAATAATGTTGTTAAGTTTTTGTAAATTTTATAAAATAATTATTATTATTAATATAAATTTTACTATTTTTTTAATAAGAGAATATATCTTAAGTTAGATCGTCTATCAAAGTTTATTTATCTTAAATTTTAATATATGGTTACATATTTTTTTTGTATGTTATTATTTTATTTGATGTGAAATTTTAATTTTAAAAAATAATTAGAGATTGAAAAAGTATACTTTTTATATATTATTTTTAACTTGACGCGAGACTTAATTTTGAAAGATAATTATGAATAATAATATCAAGATTATTTTTTTTTTCTGAATTGAACAATATTGAGATAAAAAAAATGTTGATGTATTTATAGTAACATTTTCTTAAAAAATGTTGCAATAACCTATTAACTTAATCTATAATAACATTTTAATAAATATAAGTAGACAAGTTTTACTAAAGATGTTAAATTTAGTAGTGTAATAACATAAATATTAATGTAAAAGGGGAAATAACCATTAGAAATGAAAAGCGAGCTTAAAGATACAAAAAATATAAGAAAGAAATTAACTAGCTAGTAAAAGAAAAAAAAAACAGTAACTCAAGATACATATATGTAGAGGTGTTGACAATGTTTTTGCCATAAAAGTAATCTAAACCAAACAAAAAAAATTAAGTATGGGTCGATTTGGTTTAGTTTGAATGAATTATGAAATTCAAATCAAATTAATCTTTTGTAGTTTGGTTTGTTTTGATTTTTACAGTTTAATTTTTTTTATTTAAAAATCAACTAAAAAAATGTAATAGTATTTTATTTGTTTAAGACCTTACATAAAAAATAAAAAAAATGTAAATATTAAATATTTTGATCACTTAATGTATTTAACACTAATTCTTATCTTATTATTTTAGTAAAAATATTTATTTAATTCAATTTTAGTTAATATATTAAATATTTTTATTCTCATATATATAGTTTGTTACTTAAAAACAATTATTTTCAAATGTTATAAATAAATAATAATTTTTCATTCTAATATTCAATTTAGTATGTTAAAATTTTATAAAATACCTTTTAAATATTATAACGTATATTTGGAGACAAAAACATCTTTTATTAGCTTACAATTTATAAAAACACCTTTTATGTTATGTATCAATTTTGTATACATGCATTATACATTTGGAAAAAAAATATATTTACAAATAAATGTGATTGGTTTGATTTAAAGCGATTTTAAATTTCAATCCAAAAATTGAACCAAACCACATGATTTTAGAAAGTTAAAACCCTAACCAAACTAATTTGCAATTTTCTATTGATTTTCAATTTTTTTTAATCAATTATTTGCGTTTTTTTGTTTGTGTTGTTTGGATTTTGAACACCTCTACATATATGTATTTTCCTTAAAGTCAAAGATGTAAATGTTGTAATGATTCAACAAATTATTACAATTAATATAGGACAATTACTACGTTGTGGAAAATATAATGAATTAGCTACACTAAGATTCTCATGCAATAGTTACTTGAGCATTCATGCTACATATATATATATATATATATATATATATATAGAGCATATCATAATCATAAGTGCAACTAAGAATAATTCTATAAATATATACAATATATATATATATATATATATATATATATATATATCAAAATATACAAATTACTAAAAACATAAACCATGTGATCAATCAAGCATCTATAGACAACCATACTACATAAGAGTAGTGTATACGAAACCGATCATTTCTGGTGTGACCATCCACTACAAGCCATCTATCTAAGTTAATCCTGTTTTGTTCTCATATTAAGTATGATTATTGCAGTCCAACTACAAGAAAACTTGCAAAAGAATCAACATAACAACAAGTAAAGAAAATATACTACACAAGATAGACAACTTTAACAACAGTAAGCTCATAGCATGATATCACCTTACTATCATCATTTACAACTTTCAATCATCAAATACAACTTACAACATGAACAACATTCTCAACATAAAACAATTTTAATCACAGCATAAACAAATTTAAACAACTAATGCATCATTACACATATCAACTTATGGAGATTTCCTACAACAGAGGTGAGAATAGTTTGACCCTATCGCAACTAGATCAAGTATCAACAACTTAAGGTCTCTTTGAGCACCTAGTAAAAAAATCAAAATGTTGTCTAAGGTTTCGTCACTTAAATTAAGAAAGTTTAGTGCTTGTCAGGGTAGAACAACTTGGGTTGAGTCTACCATGACCTTAGCATGCATATCTAAGCCTTATGTGAAATTAGTCCACCGACTATCCTCCAAATACAATGCATCTTTCCAACAATCAATTAAGGATTATATCCCTCAACTTCATACGTTACTCAGTTGGTCACTTCATACATTTATGGTTCGACCTGCCCCCCATATGGTTCTACATTGGCTGCTTTATAATCAATATTACTCAACCTGGCCTTCATATTGTTTCCACATAAAACCTAAAGGATAGAACTTAAAAATAACTTCCTATTCAGAAGCCACTTATTGAAGGGTTTTTAACTTTGGACTCTCGGAACACCATAACTTATATCTACAAAATGGAATATTTTAATTTTTAAAAATAATTTTATTCTCTTCTAGTTTTTATGTATCTCAACTTAAACATGTATTTCATCATCTCATGTTTATACAACTTAACATCTTAATCAACTAACAACTTACAACTTCATCAACTCTCTTTTATACATCATCCTAGATGAATACATAATGAACTATAATTATACAACACCATAAATCATGTGTGTAATCAATATATTAAACTCATTCTCAACACTTAGTCAAATAACAACAAGTTTTTCATTTAGCAACCCACGCCCGATGCAATTCTCCCAACATCGGCATCATTGAGGCAAAGAGCCTTTGTCTTGGTCATGCTTGATGCCACTCATCTTGGGTCCAAAGTCACCAAGTCAAAGAGCTCCTCAAGTAAGCACTCCTAACACCTCATATTTCTTACTCAATGTGACCAAGTTAGAGAGTTCCTCGTTGACCCGCGCTAGCTAGACGCTACCAATCCCGTGCTTGGTGTCATCAAGGTAGAAAGGCCTTAACTTGAGTCATGCTCGACACTATGAAAGCGCACCCAACTTGACAAAGGATTCCACACTTGGTTGAATCTTATTTTGGCTTAATACCTACGAATAACTAAGAGAAACCAGCATGAAATCCAACTTTCAACATGTACATAATCTATTTAGCACATTTTCAGTATAATAAACTACTTGCAACCATCAAACACCAAAATAACCAAACCTTCCAAAGGCACCTTTAAAAACAACACTTTCAACAACATCATCATCTCATGATTTCAAACAATCTCAACTACAATTTCTAATTTCAGGCAGCAAACAACAATTATAATTCAACAACTTTCAATTAACAAACTTTTCATACCTCGAATCGTCTAAAAATGAGAAGAGGAGAAGGAGAAGGAAGAAGAACTCGAACTCTTCACATGACTCTCAACCTCAAATTCTTGGCTTCCAAGATTTGAATCTAACAATATATTGTCGCTACCCAGTTGAGGGGAGGGTCTTACAAGGTTTCAAAAGAATTAGAAGAAGCAAGGTTTTTTCTAGCTTTAAAGTTTATCTTTCTAACTTCTCTCTATTTTTTTCAAGATAAATTTATGATGTTCACAAAGATCTTAAGTACTCTTTCTTAAACTTTGTCAATTTGACCCTAACTAAAATTACCTCAACAACAAATTGATTCTCGAAGACCAAAAAGTAACATTTTATTTAATCAATGTTATTATCTTTAAGCTCAATGATTCAGAGCATTATAAACTACAAATAATGTTACTTAAGATTTCTATGAAACTTATTATATATATTTTTTATTTATAAGAATTATAATGATAGTCAAAAAATCGAACTTATTAAACTTATTAAGATGTGTATTAGTTAATCCTATTACTCACATTTTTAAGAAACTCCACTCCAATGTCTTCCTAATTAAATGAAATCTATGTAGAAGTTAGAGTTAATTTCTTAAACTTACATAGTCATTTGGAACAGATTTAACATGAAGTTAAGAGGATTTAACTAGCTACATAGATGTTTATATCTTTAGGTAATGTTTTCATTGCAATGGCATCCTTATTTTCTCTTCTTATTCCCTTACTCTTAAAGTTTATTTAGAGTAATATACTTCAAATGTATTTTAAATTTTAAATATTTAAAAATATGTTTAAAAGTGTGATAAAAATATATTATTACTATATTTAAAATAATTTCATATTAATTATTATAACATGAACTCGTGCATCGATAGATAATACAACTAATTATTTATAAATCCGTACAATGTGCAAATCAAAATCGATTTGATGTAAAAGCTAGTTTCTTTTGCTTCAACAAGATGCGTGTCAATCTTCTTTGATGTACAACCAGACCGCCGACAGTGTAGCATAGTGTTGCCTTCTGTTCATTTCATGCAATAAATTAAAATCATTTTAAACGAATAAAAAATTAAATAATATTTAGTTACGAGGATACTATGAGATCGAACAAGAGCACTATTGCATCCAACGAATCAAAAAAGAAGAAGATAAAAACTGAATTCAGATCAAAGATCTTCGATCATATGTTCACTCTATAAGATTATAACCATTAAAATTAAAATATTTTATTTAATTTATTAAGATCTTCGATCATATGTTCACTCTATATTTTATTTAATAGTTTTGTTTATTAGAGTTTAAACTTTGAGAGTTGAGAGAGATATTCACGTTGAGAGTATATTGCAGAGTCTGTTAGTATATTCCCTATAAAAAAAACAGATAACAAATAACAGCGTGCGCGGGAGAAAGGTATATATCTTTGTTCATATCAGCTTCATCAAATTGCATATGGTGGTAACAACTTAGGTTTGTTGCAAAGCAATTATAAGAAAAGAAAACAGGTTAATCATATCTTTTATTCTTCTTAATTTTATCCAACTAACTATTTTCCTATCTCACTCATTTTTCAGCCAAGAAATGAAGAACCCCAAGGATGAAGGAAAGAAGAACTACAAAGATAAGGATGATTTTCTCAGTCTCAGGCCACCGAATAATCGTGGAAAGAGAGCAAGAAAATCTCCCTTAAAAAACCCTCTTCAGAAAAAGCAAGTTCCACTCACCATTCGCATGTTGGCACCGTACACAGCGTCCAACAACCCCAACATGCATGATGCTGCTCATGAGGTGCATGTAAACACTATTCCTCCACCCTTTCCTTGGGCGAGGGATCGGCGAGCCACCGTGCACACGCGCGAATACCTAATGGAAAATGGCATCGTTACCATCACGGGGAGCGTGGAGTGCAAGAGGTGCAAGGTCAAGTTCGAGATGGGGCTTGATCTTGAGAAAAAGTTTGATGAAGTGTGGAAATTCATTCAGAAGAACAAACACGATATGTCTGATAGGGCACCGGATAACTGGGCGATTCCGGTGCTGCCAAAATGCGAGCATTGCGGAGGAGAAAACAGCGTCCAACCCTACCTTGCTGGCACTAAGAAAAAACACATTAATTGGTTGTTCTTGTTCCTCGGCCAAACCCTCGGATGCTGCACGATTAAGCAACTCAAATATTTCCTCAAGCACGCCAGCATCCATCGCACCGGTGCCAAAGATCGGGTCCTTTATTCTACCTACATGACCCTATGCAAACAGCTTGTTCCTGACTGGTTCGATTCTTTGTGAAATACCACAAACAATCGATACCACGTACGAGAAATTATTATGTCCACATGACGTCTATTTTGATTGAGACCAAAGACTATGTGGTTTTTGAACTATCTAATATTTTTTTTCTTGGCTACCTACCTAGTGCTTACTTTTGTCATCTCAGTAGTTGTCGAATTTGTTTCTGAATTCAATGAAGTTGTTTCTACCAATACACAGTATCGTCATTGTTAATGTGATATTAAGCAAAAAGACTAATAATTTTTAATTATTTTGGAATTTACACGTTTATTTACTGTTAATTTGTTTATTTTTGCTTTCATGTAACAATATGGTATTACTATCATTTCAAAATTTGTCAAACTTTTATTATGTATTGCATCAAAACTCCTCCAACGACTCTACTATTCACTACAAGGAAAGTGATATATGATGAGTGTAGGTAAAACCAAAAACTTCATTTACTTATAAATAATTAGTGTAGATAAAACATAGATGCTTATACTTATAATTATATGTTGTAGGTAGAATCTATAAAGTCGGTACTATATAACTTATATAATAAGCGAATACATTGTTTGTAAGTAAATGTAAAATAGACATTTATCAACAAAATTTTGACTTTTAGTTATAGTTTATGTTCATCACTACAAGTCATTTTTTTAGGGTCTGTTAAAATTTTTTTTTTTTTTTTTTTTTTTTTGTATTTGAATATTCCTATAGTAAATCGTCGGATTTTGTTATGTCTAGGTGGATGGTTAGTCTGTTGCCCCATTAATTATGCGGTTAGTTAAAATCTTCATCTACAAGAAATAATAAACTTTCAAGTACAAAATCCAAATGATGCGTAAATAACAACAAACTCATTTTATTTTGAATGACGAGACAAGTAATATAACAATGGAATTAAAATTTTCCTTTCATATTTAATTTAAAGTACTTAATAAAATTAGTGGTCAGAGCTAGCTAATATACATTCTTCTGCATTTCATATGATATTTATATGGTTCATTTCATTCGGCATACAAGATTCTGATGGGTTATGCTAAGGTGGGAGCGTCTAATGTAGAAATATATTGAATAAAAGTGTGTAATAAGATAGTTCCCTTGAAAGTTACAGTATTTTCATGAAGATTGTAACAAAATATATTAGCTATGAAAGTCAATTCATGATGGAGGGGTATTTTAACTGGGGAGGACATGTGGTGTGTGTGATGCAAGAATGAAGTGAAATCAACTAATCACGTGTTGTATGAGTGCTTATGGTTTTCACCGGTTTGATTACCTTATTTAGATTGGGTGGGTTGGAATTTTTTTTTTTAAGGAGACTAAAGCTCAATTTCATCCTTATACAAGTTTGGTAAGTGGAAAAGGTATAGATTGAAAGGATGAAAGGAAATTTGGTTTGTTGTGGTATGCGTTTTGTGGGATGCTCGAAATGCCAAGATGTTCCATCAAAACTAATTGACTTGACTGTTATAACAGAATCAACAAAGGCGAAATCTTAGAGTTTGTTGAGGACTAGGATTTTACTTATACTTATCACTAAGCTCTTGGGTGTTGAATTTAACGATATGTTTAGGGGTGTTTGTTGATCAAGTGAAATGTTCTTGAAGATGATTGTGAAGATAATATTTGATAATTATGTAGTATGAATTCAGACACGATACAAGAACACGATACAAACACACAATACTACAAAATCAAAAAATATAAGATACATAGACACGACGTATATATAAAATATAATACAAATAATTAACATGAAAAAAAAAATATTAATATGAAAATAACTTACTAAGTCTCAAAAATAAATTATTAAGAGACATTATATTCTACAATAAATTTTGTTTTTTTTAAATCTTGAATCTTTCTTTCATTGTTTATATTTTTATTAAGATTTTTTCTTTTATATATTAATGAAGGTTAAATAAGGAAAGACTTTCCTTGTTTTTGTTTTTATCAAATTTTTTTCTTTAAAAAAAAAACTCAAATCCTCCCTTCTTTAGTTCTATTTTTATTTTTTTTTTAAAAACCCTCAAATTCTCCTCTCTATCTCTTTTTTTTCTTTTATGTTTTTATTGGGGTTTATTCTTTTCCTTTTAAAAAAAACTTAAATTCTCCCTTCTTTATTCTTATTTTTATCGAGATTTATTCTTTTTTTATTAAATAAAATCTTGAATCTACATATCGGATAGTGTATCAAAATAGAGATATGTTAATTTACAGGTGTCTGTGATGAAGACATGTCAATTTTGTAAATATCCATAATTAATGGAGATATGTCTAATTTGTGTGGATACAGTTTATTGAAGTGTCCAAGACACGTCGTCTATGACATGTCCACTCTAAAAGAATGTTAGGGGCACCTGATGCCATGTCCGTGCAATATAGTTTAATAAGGTGGTCATAATGGTTAAAAAATCTTTTAGGTTTGTGCAATAAATGAAAACAACACACATATAAGGATATTTGTATAATGTGCATGCATGCACAATATACATGTTAAGGATGTTATTACATTAATTAATTAATTATTTTTATTAATATGTCTTAATTATGAAAACTAACTTTATAGCTTTTAATTTCTAAAATAAAACTCCTCAAACTATCTCTCTCCATTATCTTCTATTTAAAAAAAAAAAACTCATTTTATAACTTTCATTATCTATTCTCCTTAGAGTGACTGATATAAGGGATTGAAAGGAAAGAGAATGGGTATGGAATTGGGGCTGAAGGAGGAACCTGTTTTAGTGGGAATGGGAGTTGTTGCTAAAACTAGAGAATGAGATTGATCAAATACAACAATGGATATGGAAGGCCGATGTATCTACCCGATATACAGTAAAAATTTACAAGGTTCTCATGTCAAATAATAGATGCCTTAGGGGAGTTTTTTTTTTCCTTTAATATATATATATATATATATACATACATATATATATATATATATATATATATATATATATAGATGGGTCAAATGGGTGATTCGAATGTGCAATTTTGAGTGGTTAAAATGGTGGGGCATCAGCTCTGCATTACACATAATGATGCTCAAATCCATTTCCTACAATTTATTTAGGGTTGCTAAATTGTAATGCAGTTCAAAGTAAATTTAAATGGCAATAAGTTGTTTGGTTGGTTAGGAATGCTTTGTTTTTTCATGATATATACAGGTGGGGCATTGATAAAATTGTAGAAATGCTTAAATTACAATCTTCGCAATATATCTCATAGACTCATAGTTAGGTTTTGCATATGCAGTATTTGTTTTCATGTTGGATATATACTAAATCCAAAAGCATGTATGTGAAGAAAATAAGTATCTGGGGAAAATAATTTGGAGTCTAAGGGCGAGGGTATTTTGTGGAGGAAAATCTAGAGGAGCTCAGTTAAAGGGGTAAATCAGATGTTATGATAGGTGTAAAGGATTAATAAATTTTATACCAACTTCATTCCTAAATGGTGTTGTGCTAATTACAGATTTGGGTTACTTTGTAAATCACTATATATATTAGTATGATTGTCTTTTATGTATGAAATGTGTTGGAATATTTTATTTTTAATTTTAATTTTTTTTATTTAATTAGTCTTCTGTTTAAACTTTTATTTAATATTTTAAAATTAGTTTTAGTTTATCTTTTGAAGTTGGTTACTTTTTATAATTCGTCGACAGGTCTTTTATCATGTGCACGTTGAGCTTTGAATATTGTACTTAGTTTTTAATTGACTTGGTCTGTTCACTTGCCTGATAAATTTTCTTGTTGCTGCATGCATCTTGAAGTTGGGTTTTTTTTTGTATGAAGTAGGTAGTGACTATTATTCTCTATATATATATAAAGAGAGAGTGTGTGTGAGTGTTGTTTATGAGAAAAATATATATAATACGGTGAACAATCATTTCTCTCTTTATACAAAATATTTCTATTACTATTAAAAGAGTTATAAAACGTGGTATTCGTTAGTGGAACACACGATTAATTTGATAAATTAACATATCAAAGAGTTATAAAAATTTAGGGACCGCTCGATTTCACTATTTTTTTGTTTTCATTTTCAAAAAGAAAAAAGAAAATAAGCTTGAAAATGTGTTTAGTTTTAAAATTGAAAATGTTTTTAACAAGAGCTTGATTTTGAAAATAGAAAAACTTTATTTTTTTTTAATTGAAAATGTGGTGATATCATAATAATTATTAGACTCTTTTTTCCCTTAATCACTATGATTAGCTTAGTGGTTGACTGCAGAGAGATTATGATAGCTAGAAACATGAAGACCTAAATTCAATCATTATTATGACTTCTATCTTGTATGAGAATATTTTAAAGGATTTTTCTTAATTGAAACGGTTTGCAAATTTCTTTTTAACTTCTTATGTAATTTTATTTTTATTTATAAATTAAATACTAATATTTTAAAATAAACTAACTCCTATGTATAATACAATTTATTATAAGTTTTAATTATATATAATAAACATGTATGTGCATTACAAAGATTAAATACTAATATATATATATATATATATATATATATATATAAATTTTTAATTATATATTAAACACAAATATTTATCTTGTGTGATAATGTTTTTAGAAACTTTTCTTCAAAGAAAGGATTTGTGGAGATTTTTTTAACATCTTATCTAATTCAATTTTTTATTTATCATAATTATTTATTAATTAGATTTCAATATTTTAAAATAATTTATCAATAAATAAAAATAACCCTTTTGTTGCTATACAAATTATTTATTTATAATTATTTATTTGTAAAAGTTAAGATGTAATATTAATTATATTTATATCTATTTATCTATTATATATAAAATAATACAATAATTTAAATAATATTATAAAACTATTATTCAAAATTTGTTTATAAATTTTTTGTTATCGCCATTTTATCAAAATTTGTTAAAAAAATGATTAAATAAAACATGATTTATAAATTTCAAATTTTAAAAATTAAAATTATTTTCTGAAAATAAAAATAAAAATTATTATCTGAAACCAAATGC